AAGTATATAGCAGTTTTTTATTATCACTTGGTCTATGGTCAAATGATAGCACATGTTTTAAGCAAATTCGTGTAATTTTTTGTATCTTGATGTTTATATTTTTGATAATTGCTCAGGTATTCACAAAAAAATTCATTAAATAAATATATAGATGAAATATTAATACTTAATTTTTTATGGTATTATCTCATATAAAATAAATTCTTTTAATATTTGTATAAGGGCATCTCGCACTTAGATTTATATTTATAAATATTTTATGTTTGATTAATTTTGTTTCCTTCTTTTTTTGCAACATATAATATTTCCATACACATATATATAGTATTTTCAATAACATTTATTCGAAACATTAAACAATTACAGAAATTATTATTTTTAAATGCTTTATTTAACAATACAAAAATGTAATGATTAATTTTCATACATAAATAATTTTAAAAATTTAAGTGAAATTGAAGTATTTTAAAAGATTTTATAAAAATAATTCTTTAGGAGACAATGTACTTTATATTTTTTGATAGATAAAACAAGAAATTGTTTCATTAATTTAATTATCTAAAATTTATGGTTTCAGTTGTTGAAACTATTTACAATGGAATATGATCTCGACTTTATATTAGCTGATTTATCGTTTGCTATTCCTTCTTTAGCTTATTTTTTAAAATATAGTACCTTTTACATACAATCTCACAAAGTAAGTTGTTATATCAATCTAATTCGCTGATTTATTATCTGAGTTATTATCTGAGTTTCTTATTTATAATTATAATGTATAAAGCAGATCAGACAATTAATGGAATATATTCGAAATGATTGGAACGCGTTACAAAATGAACAAGAAATCAATATAATACGCAAATATGCTGTATCTGCAAAAAGATATATGTACGCATTTGTAGGTAAGATATCGTATTGAGAAATATTAATTATACAAAGTTTGTCGAAATGTTTTGTGATTTTAGGCGTAAGTTATCCCGGCACTATTGGTTTCCTTTTAATCTCGCTTTTGCCAGATATTCTTGACATTATAGTACCATTAAATGAATCACGCACGCGGCATCTTCCGTTTATGGTGGAATATTTTTTGAATGAACAAAAATACTTTTATCTTTTATTTTTGCACATAGCCGTAACTGTTATTTTGGGAATTACGACCGTTATAGCTACAGAAGCATTGATGTTAGCATACGTTTATCATATTTGTGGCATGTTTAAAGTAATCAGGTAAAATAGATTGTATATTGGAGATTTAAATGATAAAATAAAAAAAATAATTCTAATAATTACATACGACTATTGATTATTTTATATTTGTAGATATCGGATAGAACGTGCATTGAATGCAAGCACATCGATATCACCAATGTTAAGAGAAAATATGATTCATATCAAAATAATTGACGCTATAGAGATTCATCAAAGAACTATTGAGTCAGTATCTTGCTACTTTTATTAATAATGTTAGCATTGTTCTTTGTACAATTTTTGTCTTTTCTAATTATTTTGAAAAATGTTTTAACAGAAATTAAACAAATTTAATCTTTTTTAATTCTAATTTTTACTAAATAAT